TGGCCGTTCCGGCTCCCAAGATTCACTAGGGTGCGCCCCATGGAAATGACCTCCAGCTTGCTCTCCTGCAACAAGACCCAAAAGAAAAAGAACCCCCTGAAACACTCATGGGTAGGGGAAAGCAGTTTTCCAAGCGGCAATGCTTATTTTTTGAAGGAGGTGGAGTAAATACATAAACGTCGGCGTGGGTGATAATTTTGTTGATTTCAAAATTCAGGAAGTGATGCCAAACTTTTTTATTTGAAAGCAGATAAATCTGAGATTGAGCAGATTGTATATGATGCTTTAGTCACACTTTAAGACTTTAGTCGAAGAAAATAAAGAAATATTATTAAATCCAAAAGTTGCACATCCACTTTGGAAGGAAGAAAAAAATCATGAATTGTTGCAGAAATTTATGAATGCAAAACTTCAAGAATTAATAGAGCGTTACCAAAAAACTGAAATATGATGCGAAAGATAACTGGTTTGCTAAAGGTATATACAAAGCTTCCGAGCTTTCGCAGTAACACCATTGAAGGACAAGTTGCAAATTGCGGCGCAGCTGGACCAGCTGCCCAACGGAAAAGGCGTTGACTTTGCTGACAGACTTTGGTGGTTCGAATCCACCCTGGTCCGCTTTACTTCTGCACGCTCGTTCTTTCACTCTTGGCGCGCGCAGCACCACTAATTTAAACAATAAAGAACACCATGTTGGTGCAGAATACCAAACCAAATGTGAACGGCAGGTTCACATGGAGGCCACCCAGCTCGACCACTTCGAACCCCCCTCAAGCCCGGCGCGCAGGACGCCAACCAACACGCCGGACGCGCAACGCACGCGGCAGCCTCTCCTCGAACATGGAGCGCATGGACCACCGTAGGGCTGACAGAAAACTCTTGTACCTTGGGGGCCGAGGTCCCAACGGAAAACGGACGTTCGTTCGCGCGGTGCGTTTCAAACGGTGTTCTCTCTCTCTCTCTCTCTGGTTTCGGGTGGTTTGAGGCTGCATGGACAGCAAGCATCCAGATATCTTCCAGATTCCAGATCTTAGCAATGGTTCGATATGTTTTTCATGGTGTTCCGTGGGGTTGGGGGAGGGAAACCTCTGCAGCTTCCAATCTCTCATGGCATCATGGCTGGTGCAAAGAATGGCCAAACTCCCTGGGTCTGGGCGACAGAAGGGATCTGCAGAAGAAGCTACGTTGGCAAGCCTTTCAGCACCAAGCCAGGAGCCCTCTCATCCACAAACTGAATCTCATCGCCTTGGTGGACAACAGCTTGGAGCATCACCTTTTTCGGAGCCTACGTACAGGTTGACCTGGAGCTGAGTGGTCGACCTGGAGCTGAGTTTGCCCACACAGCAGGTTGAGGAAATCAAAAATGAAGACATCCCAAACACCACTGAATGAACGTATCTGTCCAACATCCTTGAAGCTTCTGACAATATGATTTCTAGACAAGCCCAAATAGGTCCAAGATGTTTTTGGTATGAGAGCGACTCTGCTGCTATGCGGGCAATTCATTCTTAATTGTACGAAAGACTGGAAACAGAACTTGTGATGGACATCTCCTGAGGGTGCCCTCACAACTCTTCAATGCTTGACTGCCATCGGAGTGAGGTCCAGTGAATCTTCACGATTGCCGTCCTGTACTACTGCACCTGAGACATCGTGTTTGTCTATTTAACCACTACAGCAACATGACTCCATGACCCATCGCTCGTCTCCTCATCCACGCTGGTTTTTCCGCTGGACCTGCGTTTGAAGCTTGAGGGGCTGTAGATGGAGAAATCTGGCATGCGGCCACCCATGCCACTGTAGCTCAAAAAGAGCTCAGGCACCTGAAACAAAAGCAGCAGGATCGACCTGATTGAAGGCAACAGCATGCCAGTTTTTTGAGAGCCATTGGCAGCATGACGTTCCAATTTCACTCTATTTCTCTGCCTTCATGCAGTCAAAAAACATGGACAGTCCTTTCAAAACATGGACAGTCCTTTCAACAAACAAAAGCAGCTTCAGAGTCACCTCTTGGACAATGGAGCAAATTTAATGGAGTTGGAGGCCATCGCTAGTAGGTTGGAGTGCATCGCTAGTAGGTTGG